AAAGAACAACCTACAAAATGGGAGAAATTACTGCAAATCCTATATCTGATAATAATAGTGATCTTCTTTGCAAAAACTGAGGAGGTCCTGAAGCATTTGCTGCAGAAGGTCAAAGACTGCAGTCTCTAATATCGCTTGAAGCTCAACATCAAGAAAACAAAGATGCTCACCACTGGGTCAATTTGCAGCACCATGATAAATGGAGCAGAGACCGAGATTGTTAATAATTTTAGCTTGCTGTACTCCACAATCTACACTCTTGGCACCAGCAGTCAGGAAATCAAAAGACAAGCTGCATTAGGAATACCTTCTAACACAGACCTCGTTAGAGTGCTGAAGAGCAACAATGTCAGTCTGGAGACTAAGGTATACCTGATTCAGGCCACAGTCTTTTCAATTATTTGCTATGCATCAGAGAGCAGGACAATGACCAAAAATGACAGAAAAATTGATGTCTTTGAGTTGTGGTACTCGAGAAGAGTACTGAATAAACCATGGAGAACAAACAAGTCTGTTCTGTTCTAAGGAGGGTGAAATCAAGTTGTCCCATACAGTCAAGAATTTTGAAGTTCTATCTCACATAGTTTGGCCTGTTGCCAGTAGGGACCGGTCCTTAGAGAAGAACATCATGTTTGGAAGAGTGAAGGGACAGCACAGGAGAGGAAGACCCAGGGTAAGATGGACTGACACAGTAATTAGGATAATGGGAGAAGGTATATCAAGACAGTGAGACTGGCTCAGGATACAGCCGAGTTCAGAGCTACTGTACATAGGGTCAGTGTCATCAGAACAGAGAAAGGAGATACTACATGGTTCAAAATCAAGAAAGGGGTCCATCAGGAATATATTTTGTCTCCATACCTTTTCAATCTCTATGCAGAACAGAACATCTGAGACGCTGGGCTGTACGAGGAGGAATGTGGCATCAGGATTGGTGGAAGAATCAACAACCTGTGTTATGCGGATGACACAACCCTGCTTGCTGAAACTGAGGGGGATCTTAAGAGCCTGTTGCAGAAAGTTAAGGAATGCAGCCTCCAATACGGATTGAAGCTCAACATCAAAAAAACCAAAGATTCTCACCACTGGGCCAATTGGCAGCATTGGTATGGATGGTGAAGAGATTGAGATAGTTAACAGTTTTAGTTTACTTGGTTCCACAGTCAACACTCTTGGTAACAGCGGCCAGGAAATCAAGAGACAAACTGCATTGGGAAAGTCAGTTGTGAGGGACCTCTCAAGAGTACTGAAGAGCAACGACATCAGGCTGGAGACTAAGGTGTGCCTGATGCAGGCTATATAGTCTTCGCAATTACGTGCTATGCATCAGAGTTGGACAGTGACTAGGGATGATAGAGAATTGATGCCTTTGAGCTGTGGTGCTGGAGAAGAGTGTTGAATGTACATAGACTGTTGTTGTTATGTGCGTCGAGTCGCTTGTGACTCATAGCGGTCCTATGTACAACAGCCCTAAACTCTGCTCTGTCCTGTGCCAATAGCACTGTCTCTGACACTCCCATCCTGATTATCCCAGTCACTGAATCAATCCACCTCATGGAGGGCCTTCCCCTCCTGCGTTGTCCCTCCACCCTCCCAAGCATGATGTCCTTCTCCAAGGACCGGTCTCTCATCACAACATGTCCAAAGTATGTTAGACAGAGCCTCAGAATCCTTGCCTCCAAGGAGCCACCCGGTTTAACCCTTTCCAGGACGAATCTGTTTGTTTTCCTAGCAGTCCATCGTATTCTCAGTACTCTTCTCCAGCACCACAACTCAAAGACATCAATTCTCCTTCTATCCTCCTTGGTCATTGTCCAACTCTCTGATGCATAACAAGTGATTGTGAAGATGATGGCCTATATCAAACACACCTTAGTCTCCAGAGAGACACCACTGCTCTTCAGTACTTCAGAGAGGTCCCTAACAGCAGACTTTCCCATGGCAATGTGCCTTTTAACTTCCTGGCTATTGGTGCCAAGAGTGTTGACTGTGGAGCCAAGCAAACTAAAGCTGTGAACAATCTCAATCTCTTCACCATCCATCCTGATGCTGCCAATGGGTCCAGTGGTGAGAATTTTTGTCTTCTTGACAAAATGTTTGTCTTCTTGAGCCTCAATCCATATTGGAGGCTGCAGTCCTTGACCCTCTGCAGCAGGTGCTTCAGGTCCTCTTCAATTTCAGCAAGCAGGGTTGTGCAATCTGCATAAAGCAGACTCTTTATAAATCGTCCACCAATCTTGTCTCCACATGGACTGTTAGGAGAACAAAAAGGTTTGTCCTAGAGAGAGTGAAGTCGGAATATTCCTTGGAGTCAAGGATTCTGAAGCTTTGTCTGACATACTTTGGGCATGTTGCAAGGAGGAGCTGGTCCTTGGAGAGGGACATAATGTTTGGGAAAGTGGAGGGACAGAGCAGGAGAGGAAAGCCCTCGTTGGCATGGATTGATGCTCTGAGTGGAGTGGTGGGAATGAGTGTGTATGAGACAGCGAGGTTGGCACAGAATAGAACGGCATTGTGGGCTCTTGTAAATAGGGTCGCTATGAGTCGCAAGTGACTCAATAGCACATAACAACAAATAACAACAATCACTAATCCACCAGTGTTCTCTGATATATAAATAGAACAGATTATTATTCTGCTATATAAAGGAAGTACATTGTTTTACATTGTTGATGGGCTTGGAAAATGGTGCAACCATTCTGGAAGGCAGTTTGGCACTTCCTCAAAAAGCTGAACAAAGAAATTCCGTACAACCCAGCTATTCCACTACTTGGAATATACCCTGAGAATATGAGAACTGTGGCACAAACTGAGATTTGTACACCAGTGTTCATAGCAGCATTATTCACCATTGCAAGAACATGGAAACAGCTCAAACATCCAATCATAAATGAATGGACTGAGAAATTACATTCACACAATGGAATACTATGTAGCACACATGAGCAATAACTTTGTAAACTATTACCAAACTTGGGAGGAACTGGGGAGCATTATGCTGAGTGAACTAACTCAGTCACACAAGGATAAATATTGTATAAATCTGTTATTATAGAATGAGTAAAAGGATACAGGAGGGGGTAGGAGAGGCTGGAAGCAGAAGGATATGGACGTGCAGGGGGAGGAAGGTATTAATTATTGGGTTGTACAATTTGATGGGTAGGGTGAAGGAAACTGAAAGAATTTGTTTGTTTGTATTTTAGTTTTGTAAATAAACTGGGGGGGGTGGGGGCGGGGGAAGTACAAATATGTGATACAACTTGAATCAACCTTAAAGATCTAATGGTAACTGAAAGCAGCCAGATATAAAACATCACATATTATATGATTCCTTTGATATGATAAAATCAGGACAGGCAAATTTAGAGAGACAACACAGATGAAAGGTTACTAGGGACTGAGAGGATGGAAAATGGGAAGTGAACATTTAATAGATACAAGGTAATTTTTGCCCCCATTTTATTTAAATCTACAATTAACACCTACGGAAGCAGCAGTCAAGAAATCAAGGGATGTACTGAATTGAGCAAATCTGCTACCAGGGTCCTCTTTAAACTACTAAAGAGCAAGGATATCAGTGTAAAGACAAGGTATGCCTCATCAAGCCTTGACAATTTCAATTGCTTTGTATGCACCAAACAATGATCAAGCATGACAGAACTGGCGGCACTGAACTGTGGGTTGGCAAAGAGTACTGAATATCCCGTGGGCTCCCCCCCCCCCAAAAAAAAAATAAAATCTGCCTTTCAAGTGCCAGCAGAGTACTCCTTAGAGTCAAGAATGGCGAAACTGCACCTCACACACTTTGGGCACGATGTCAGGAAGGCCCAGTCTTTGGAAAAGACATCATGCTGGAAAAGGTGGAAGGTCAGGAAAAAAATGATGACCTTCAATAAGATGGACTGACAGGAGACTAACAATGAGCTTGAGTATATTCAAGATCATGGTGCAGGATAGGGCAAGGTTCAGATCTGCTGATTATAGGGTCGCTATGAGTTGTAGTCTAATCAATGGCACCTAACAAGGTATTTTTATGACGTGATTAAAAAAAAATTAGAAACAAAAGGGAGCTGGTAGTTTTATAACATTGTAAATACACCAAATAACAATGTATTATATATTCTGTGGTTAATTTTGTTATGGGAACTTCAACCAACAACAAAAAATTACACATAATAATATATAGCAAAGGATAGTTTGTTCTATGAAATTCTGTCAAAATGACATTTTACTATTTTAGCAAAAAGAGTCTACATATATTTAAAACAAGTAATCAAACCACCCACAGTTTATGTGTGTATGTATCTATGACCATGGCCTGAACCAGGTGCACTTTAGTCTCCAGACTGACGCACAACATGTATTGTTGTTGTGTACAGCCAAGTCAGAACCAATTCATAGGTGACCCTCCAGAAGTTTTCAGAAGCGATTATCTCATGGGGGAGAAAATGCCTGTAATACCAGGAGTAGCTGGTGGAGTTGAACCAAATGTCTTTGGGCTGGCAGTACAACCCCTTACCACTAAGACATCAGAGTTCTACATACATACATGAGAGAGAGGGGGAGGGAGAAAAGGAGAAAGGGTGGGGGTAGCTCTGGTGGATCAGTGGTTGGAATCCATCAGCTGTTCTGCGGAAGGAAGATGGGCAGGCTCGTCCCGTGCAATTTATTGCCTCTGAAAACTCACTGGAAAGTCAGCTATGGGTTGGTTCTGACTTGACAGAACACAAAGACAACATATATATATATATATATTTTCAAGAAAGAGACAACTTTCAAAAGCATACACAAACAACTATGGCCATTTTGAGGAGTGGACTAAAAGGCTGTGATAGGAAAAAGACTTACTTTTTATTCTATTGTCCAAATAAAATTGATCTTACCAAATACATGTTTTACCTATTTAAATACTATATAATTTTTAATTTAGCCTCCAGAAACATCTATCTTATCTTTTGAAATATAAAGATAACCATTCAAAACATACATGCCATTCTAACCTTGAAGACTGCTATCCGATGGATGGAACTGCTGAGCTTCTCGTTGTTTAGAAGGTATATTTTTCTTCATTATTTCCAAGCTTTCTAAAGCTGTACTGTGTTCTGATAGGGATTTTAAAAGTGAAATGTCATTTATTATACCAGAAAGTCCTGAAGAATTTTCACTATTATTCCAACGAGTTGGAGCATTAGCTTGTAATAGCAGCCTCTCTTTTTTAGGCAATGGCTCCAAAGATTTGTCTTCAACTGGTGTTAAGATTTTGCTATCTCCAGCACTTTCTATCTGGATGTGCTCATTGGGTAAATTCTCAGTCCTTATATTTTCATATTCAAGACTATGTGCTTCTGATTCTTTGGAAAAAGACTTTTTTCCCAGAGAGTAAAATGAAGAATTGGAAACAGGGTTATTTGATTCATCAAGTACAATATACTCAGAGGTATTTTTATTTATATTTAATAGCTGTATACTGTTCTCACTGCTAGAGGTTGATGATAAAATCAGTTCATTTTTGTTGAAGTTGCTTTCCAAAATAAAAGGCTGAGGTTGAGCATCTTCTGAAAATAAGCTATTATCTTCAGGAGTCTGATTACTGGTCTTGTTTAAAAACTGATGAATATATAAGTCTGATTTTGTATCTCGAGATTTGTTTAGGAGTGAAGTAAAATCACAGTCAATTTTTACTTTCTGAGTAGATTCATTAAGATTCTCATTATTGAAAGAGGAACTGAAATGACTTAAAGTGTCACTGTATTCCTCCTCAGTTTGTTTTCCAGCTTTGTAAGGTAGTGTATCAAAATCCACACACGTTCTAGTACTATGCTGTGATGGCAGAGTTTCTTCAGTAGGTAATGATTCTACAGGTTTTCCACCAACAGATGTGAAGAGAGGTAAATGCTCACTGTCAATTTCCTTACAGCTTATGTCCTCACTTAGCTTTTGAACACGTGAACTGCCGTTATTAACCAAAATTTCCTTCAGCACACACTCAGAATCCTGGGAAATCTTGCTGCTTTCCTGTGATTCTTCCTCAGTGTCACTAGTCTCAAAATTGCTCAGATTAAAATTTACTCCCCAAAATGACTGTGTTACATTATTCATTGATTCATCAATACTATTAATTCCTTCACTGTTAGCACTACTTTTAGGAAACATGTCCGCACTATCATCAAAGATGCTAAAATCCTTACTTTGAAAAGATTCAGTTTGTAGATGCTTCTCTTTTGGCACAGGAGACACTGGTTGTTTATACTCTTTTTCTGATGTTTTATGTCTGTTTATCTCTGGAGAATTTTCTCTATTAAGAATTGGTCCTTTTAGGCATGACTGGTCATTATGATCAAAAGACATGCTATTCATTCCTTGAATATCAGGTCCTGATAATGAGCCATCATTTTCTGTATTGTTACACGTAACTGATAAGCTAACATTTTCATAGGCTGAGGAAACTTCAAAATTCATTTTCTGATCCCAGGAAGATAGAGCCTTATTATCGGCTTGCTTACCTACATGATACTTTTCCCCCATTTCAGCATGAGTTTCAAAGAACTGTATCTTCTCTTGTACCAAAAGATCTTTCCTATTTGTATTTGTATCATTTCCTTGGGTCTTATATTTTCTTTCTGTATCACTTTCATTTGAATCAGAACAATGTACAGGTGAACTCTTTGAGGGTAAATACACTGCCCAGCGGCTTTTATTTCTCATGGTATTTTCTGAACAATGCTGGTAGTGTGATATTTCTGTGTTCTTCACTTCACATTTTTCTTGATGATTTAGACATGTGGGTTGAACAGGAATTTTTAAACTTTCTTGCAGTTCTACTCTTGGGAAATGTTCTGCAATTTCAGAATTTAGTTCTTTATGTATACCTGTTGATTTAGATTTCAGAAGAGCTAATATCTGAGCTTTGCTCCTGATGTTTTGTGAAATTCCTGAACAGTCAGATGCCTGACCATCTCTTTTCATGGGCTTACTGACTAGTAAAGAATCTGAGTGCTTTTCTGTAGGGTTGTTTGGAGTGCAAAAGTAATTTTCTCCACATAGCACTTCTGCGTTAATCTGGAAGGATGGCGTGGAGACATGAGGAGAGGGGATACCACTTTTCTCCCTGTTCTTACAACCAACAGTATTCTCAAGGTTTGCTGTAGTATTTATTATAGCTTTCTTTCCAGCAGTAGAAAATAAAGGAGATGTACTGTAGAATGGAGGAAGCAAAGTTGGACCAGGTGATGCAGCAACCTGATCATTTTCCGTGGAAACTACTTTCTTTGGCACTTGACGTGGTCCTTGAAAGCCCTAAAAATATAGAAAAAAAATAAGAACAATTACCTATTAATAAATTAACTATAATAATCTATTTACATATGTAAAGAATGTCTAATCAACTAATAGGGGGAAAAAAAACCTATGTCCTTTGCCTAAGATTTAAATTCACTGAAACAAAATGCTAACTGTCATTCAAACTAACTGTCATTCAAACTAAGGTTTTTTTTCCTAATTAAAGCTTATTTCCTTTCTACCTAAATATACTGTTGTTGTTGTTGTTATGTGCCGTCGAGTGGCCTGCGACTTATAGCAACCCTATGTACAACTGCCCTAAACCCTGCTCTATCCTGTGTCAATCATACTGCCTCTGATACACCCATCCCGATTACCCCAGTCACTGAATCAATCCACCTCCTAGAGAGCCTTCCCCTCCTGTGCTGTCCCTCCACCCTCCCAAGCATGATGTCCCTCTCCAAGGACCTGTCCCTCCTTACAACATGTCCAAAGTATGTCAGACGAAGCCCCAGAATCCTTGCCTCCAAGGAGCAGCCGGGTTGAACCCTCTATAGGATGAATCTGTTTTCTTAGCAGTCCATGGTACGTTCAATACTCTCCTCCAGCACCACAGCTCAAAGGCATCAATTCTCCTTCTATCCTCCCTAGTCATTGTCCAACTCTGATGCACAGCAAGTGATTGCAAAGATCATGGCCTGTATCATGGCCTGCACCTTAGTCTCCAGAGAGACACCATTGCTCTTCAGTACTTTGGAGAGGTCCCTAACAGCAGACTTTCCCATGGCAATATGGCAATAATTTCCCGGCTGCTGTTGCCAAGAGTGTTGACTGTGGAGCCAAGCAGACTAAAGTTGATAACAATCTCAATCTCTTCACCATCCATCCTGATGCTGCCAATTGGTCCAGTAGTGAGAATCTTTGTCTTCTTGATATTGAGCCTCAAGGGCTGCTGTCCTTGACCTTCTGCAGCAAGCGCTTCAGGTCCTCCTCAGTTTCAGCAAGCAGGGTTGTGTCATCTGCATAATGCAGATTGTTGACAGATCTTCCACCAATACTGACGTCACACTTCTCCTCATAGAACCCAGCCTCACGGATAACCTGTTCTGCATATAGATTGAAAAGGTATGGCTATCGGACACATTCTTGATGTACACCCTTCCCAATTTTGAAACATGCAGTGTTTCCTTTCTCTGTTCTAACAGCAGCCTCTTGGTCCAAGTATAGGTTTTGCATTAGCACGATCAAGTGTTCTGGGATTCCCATTCTTCTCAGAGTCAGCTAAGAAGTACAACTTAATGATAGAGTACAATAGCTCAAAATTGACTGCTGCTTCAAATTATTTCATAAATATATGTTGAGGTATTATATTCAACAAAGAAACTTACAGGAAACTTCCTTTTTAAACCAGCAGGCCGACACCCAAGGGACTGGCCAGAAGAGAGAAATCTCCTTGAATTTAATTCTGGTGTTTCTTTGACATCTTGTTTAACAGCTGCACTTCCAGCAGCTTTAACCTCCTCAACCGTGATTAAGTAACGATCACTTTCTAAGTCGTCTCCAGGTTTCACCTAAATGTGAAAGAATAAATGCCAAAATTATACACAGCTAGCTGAATGCGCTCATCATGCTAACACTAAACAAGACACAAGGGGTGTTCAACAGTAAATGAATAAATAACTAATTAAAATAATTACTAAGCATTAGTTATTTTAAATGAGCACAATGATAATAATATAGACAACAGTACTACAATAAGAATCCATTAATTTGTTCATTAAACAGTACAAATTAGGAATCTACATGAGGCCTTTTGTTATATTCTTTCCAAGGTCCATTAGAATTAAACGTACATTTTTTATAAGTGAGTTATTAAATATTAATTGTATAGCTTTAGAAATGAATCCAAATTAAACAAACACATTATCACCGAGTCGGAACTAATAGCTTGCTCTCCATTGAGATTCTGAGACTCTAAATCACCTGGAAAGAGACTGTCCATCTTTCTCCTGTGTACCTCCTGGTGGATTCAAACTACCAGAGGTGAGAGTTTGGGTTAGAAGTGCAACTCCCTACAGCTAGGCCATGACAGTGCCCTCTTCTTAGCTTTATCCCTCGGCCCATGTTGCCCTTTTGATCTTGTATGGTTTAACTGATACAAGGAGTAAATTCTTCTGATTTTGATGATCACCTTAAAGGCCTGAATGTTAAATCACGAGGGTAAATTCAGTTCCAGGCTTGAAGGGTAGCTAACGGTCATCATGGAGATTCATGAGTTTCTAATAAAATCAAGAAGCTAGGCTCCCTAAAAGCATTTCAATCACTCTGGCAAGTAAAATATAGTACTAGCCAGTAACTCACCATAACATAAAATCACAACCTTGTTTGATAATACACAGATTTTATCAGATTAACATTTTACTATGTAAAATTTCAAAATTTACTAAGCAATAGATAAAAATTAACATAATGGTAGTAAGACTATGCATTTTTAACACTTCCAGAGTCACTAAAATGGTTTGTTATTTTACATAATCTATTTCTCATCTTCATATCAAACTAGTAAGTCTGTATATCATCAACATTTTACAAAGGGAAGTTACACACAAAAAGTAGGTTGCCTCTGAAGTGTTTGAAGACGGGAAATTGGGTCAGGCCCCAAGAACTCTAATATCCTTTTTCTTTATAAAAACTATTCTTTATTTCCCTTTGTTTTCCCCCCAACAGAGGACAAACAAAATAAATATTTGAAGAACTATTTAAAATATAGTATCTCCAATGAGATGGATTGACACAGTTGACTGCGGCAGTGGGCTCAAGTGTGTCAGAGATGATGTGGGCGGCACAGGATAGGAAAGGGTTGTTTATAGGGTCACTAGGAATTGTACTTTACTCGACAGAATATAACGCCACTACCACCAACATGCTTATCAATGTCACAAAGGAGAGCTGACTTCCTTTTTTTTTTTTTGAGAGCTGACTTCCTTTTTTTTTTTTTTTGAGAGCTGACTTCTTAAGATCAAATCCCAGTCAACAGAATTCTTATGGATGTGAGAAAGTTACTTAGCCATTCTAAGTAATGCACTAAAGATCTGATCTATAAAAAAAAAAATCACATTATAAGAAGTATTAATAGCGAAAAACTTTCAGCATAGACTCTGACCAAGAACAAATATTCAAAAGTACTAGTAATAATTATTAGTAGTAGTTATACGACTATTTAACGTGTTCCTAAAGGAAGTTTTTGGAGTTTAAAGAGTTTGGAGGTTGGTATTTAAAAAAAATAATCTTGCAATAAAACAAACCCATTAAAATACCTCAAGGTTTGACCTGAAATTGAACTCATCCCTGAGGTACAAATTTATGAGCTTTATAAGGTGGTCAGTAACACTAGAGAGATACTCAACACTTCGAACATGCAAACCGCACAAGAGATCACAAGGACAGCAAAAAAACAAAAGAAAGAAAATACCTCAAGGTACTTAAGGAATATGCTTTCCAGACACTCTCCTCTGTCATCATATAAAATTGCCTAGATTGAAACAAAATAAATGTTACAGAGGAACAAAACAGAATTCTACTTTTCTTTTATTTCTTCAACAGCAAATAAACATTTTTATATCAGTAAATTATAAATTAAAAACTGCTCAGTTTGTTTAACTTAGATTTGAAAGTGTATCCACTTCAGATTTCGATTCAACAGCTGTTCAGTCAGAATGCACAGGCATACACATAAAAATTCAAGAACTTTATCGTTATCATGAGGATACTGGAATAGATGTGAAAAGAAAACAGACGTGGAATTTATTGGATCCACAGTCAAAACCCTTGGTAGGAGCAGTCAAGAAATCTGAAAGTGTATTGTATGGGAAAAAGTCTGTTGTCAAGGATCTCTCCAAAGTTTTAAGAAGCAATAATATCAGTATAAAGACAAAGGTACATTTGATTCAGATCATGTTCATTTTAATCACTTGCTATGTGTCTGAGAGCCGGACAATGACTAAAGATGATAGAAGAAAAGACGATGCTTTGAGTCACAGAGTTAGAAAAGAGCACTGAACATCCTATGGACTAAGAAAAGAATGAACAAGTATGTCTTAGGAGAAAGTTCAACCAGCTCTTTAGAGGTGAAAATGACAAAGTTCATCTAACATACTTTGGACATACTGTTGGGGGGGACCAGTTCTTGGAGAAGGACCTCATGCTTAGAAGAGTGGATGCTCAGCTAATGCTGATAAAAAATTGATGCTTCCAAGGACTCTTTGTTTCTCTATTCAATTTATCCTCTTCAGAAGATACAAACCAAAAGATGCCAATTTCTTCTCAAATCCTACCTGTACCTTCACAATTTCCTAAAAATTAGAATTACAGTCCTACTAAATAACTGTCAGTTTTTCCTAAACTCGCACCCGTGCTTATTCTATTCTAGCTACAATAAACTCCTTGTTGTTTGTGAAACTCATTAAACAAAAGATAGGCTCAGTCTCAGAAACTTCAATGAAATTAGGAATTCATTTTTCTCTCTGCTGCACCTTCTAGATTAGTTCCTAATCCCTAAGGGTTCAAAAAATATCTGTTGATTTAAAAAAAAAGAAAAACAACCTAAAAAAAAAATCTGTTGAATAATTAATGAATCCACTACAACGGCTTCAAATACCACCTAAATACTAGGAATTTCCAAACTATGTATTTAATCAAAAATATTTTGCTAAGTTCCTGGCCCACTAATATTTCTAGTACTTCTTACAACACATTAAATTCAGTGTATTTAAAATGGAATTCAAATATAAAATATTCACTGTCTAGAATCAGCAGCCCAACCAACACATTTCTGAGATATCCTATTTCAGAAAGTTTCACTGCTAATCCTGAGGTCACTCCCCTCTAACAGTTCAAATCTACCAGTGTGAAGAGTTTAGTGTTCTATATGACTAAATAAATAGTGGCCTAGTGGCAAGAAGCTGTACTGCATTCCCAAGGTAGGCAGTTCAAATCCACCAGCTTCTCTGTGAGAAAAGAATGAGCAATCTCCTCCTCTGTTAAGTATGGCCTCTGAAAACCCACCAGAGGGTAAGCTATGGATTGGTTCTGACTCAACAATATACAACAACAACAAGGCTTTCCTAGCCATTGAAGTTGATTTTGCTATATCAACTGGATGGGTGAGAATATGCAAATAGTGCATGTTAGCCTATCCACAAAAGGACTGGCTAATCTCACCAATCCACAAGGGGATTGACTAGTCTCACCATTAAATTGAGCAGACACAGCAGCAGAAAGAAAGCAAGCTCACTGCGAGCAAAGAGAAAGCAAGAGAACGTAATGCATCCTTCAAAACCAGAGACTCTTGGGTCAGCTAGAGGAGGGCCTATGGGAGCAACAGCCACAGCAGCCACAGTGGAGAACCAGAGACCTGACATGACAATGAGCCCACTAGGGACCAAGATACCTCTGGACGAAAGCTAAGAGCCTTTTGTCCAGGTTTGTTGAAGGACAGTGGTGGACAGAGACATAAATGGTAGGACTTTACAAGGTTGTGCTAAGAAATCTGGAGGACAGATACCTGGTCAACTGATTGGAAGAGTTCCATCTTTATTCCCATTCCAGAAAAAAGGTGACCCAAGAGAATGTGGACATTATCAAACAATATCACTAATATCACACACAAGCAAAATCCTCCTGAAGATAATCCCAAAACAACTGAAATAGTACATAATTGCATGGTTCAAAATCAGAAAAGGAATGTGTCAAAGATGTGTTCTGTCTCCATACATTTTCAATCTATATGTGGAACAGATCATTTGGGTAGCTGGGCTTTAGGAAGAGGATTGTGGCATCAGGATTGGAGGAAGACTCATCAACAATCTATGTTATGCAGATGACACAACCTTGCTTGCTAAAACTGAGGAGAACCTGAAGTGCTTGCTGCAGAAAGTCAAGGACTGTAGTCTTCAATATGGATTGAAGCTCAACATCAAGAAGACAAAGATTCTCACCACTGGGCCAACTGGCAACTCCATAATAGATGGAAAAAAGATTAAGATTGTTAATAGCTTCAGCTTGCTTGGTTCCACAATCAACACTCTTGGCACCAGCAGTCGGGAAATCAAAAGATTAATTATATTGGGAAAATCTGCTGTCAGGGACCTTTCCAGGGTACTGTCAAGCAGTAATGTCATTCTAGAGAATAAGGTGCACCTGATGGAGGCCATGGTCTTTGCAATTACTTGCTATGTATCAGAGAGTTGGGCAATGATTAAAGATGACAGAAGAACCGATGCTTTTGAGTTGTGGTGCAGGAAAAGAGTATTGAACATACTATGGACCACCAAGAAAACAAATCTGTCTTAGAAAAGGTGAAACCATGTTTCTACTTGGAGGCTAGGATTTTGAAGCTCCATCTCATATACTTTGTGCATGTGGCTAGAAGGGACCTGTCCTTGGAGAAGGACATCAAGCTTGGAAGGGTGGAGGGCCAGCACAGGAGAGGAAGACCCCAATTGAGATGGACTGACACAGTAACTGAGGTGATGGGCATAGGTGTGTCCAAGTCAGTGAGACTGGCTCAGGATAGGGCAGGCTTCAGAACTGTTGTACAGAGTCGCTACCAGTCACAGACTACTCAACAGCACATAACAACAACTTGGAACAACATATTGCCGTGAGCAAACCTACCGGAAAAGATCTCTTTAAAGTTTTGCAAAATAAAGATGTCACTTTGATAGCCAAAGTATGCCTAAGACAAGCCATAATATTTGCAATCGCCTCAGGTGCATGCAAAAGCTGCACAATGAAATACTGAGACAGAAAAAGCATTCAAATAATGGTATTAGGAAAGAATATAAAATATTCCAAGGCTACCAAAAGTACAAACTAATTAGACTCAGGAGAAAAGTATAACCAGAATGCTTCTTAGAATTTAGGATGGCAGATTTATCTACAAAAAAGACCAACTGTTCAAAAATTGCCCAATTTAAGTCAAAGATGAGGCAACATGAGAGAAATCCTTAATGAAATGAACTGACACAACAGTTATGATTGTTGTTGCTGTTATGTGCCATTGAGTCACTTGTGACGCATAGAGACCCTATGTACTAGAGCCTTAAATGCCGTTTTATTCTGTGACAGCCTCGCCGTCTCAAACACACTCATTCCCACCATTCCACTCACAGACTCGATACATCTCATCGAGGGTCTTCCTCTCTTGCACCATCCCTCCACTCTGCCAAACATGATATCCCTCTCCAAGGACCTGTCTCTCCTTGCAACATGCCCAGAGTATGTCAGATGAAGCTTCAGAATCCTTGACTCCAAGGAGCATTCTGGCTTCACCCTCTCCAGGACAAACCTGTTCGTTCTCCTAGCAGCCCATGATATATTCAACATTCTTCTCCAGCACCACAGCTCAAAGGCATCAATTCTCTTTCTACCGTCTCTATTCACTGTCCAACTATCTAATGCATAGCATGTAACTGCAAAGACTATGGCCCGGATCAGGTGCACCTTAGTCTCCAGCCTGACATCATTGCTCTTCAGTACTCTTGAGAGGTCCCTCACAGCTGACTTTCCCAATGCAATTCATCTCCTGGTTTCCTGGCTGCTGTTATCAAGAGTGTTGACTGTGGAACCAAGTAAACTAAAACTGTTAACTATTTCAATCTCTTCTCTATCCATACTGATACTGCCAATTGGCCCAGTGGTGAGAATCTGTTCTCTTGATGTTGAGCTTCAATTCATATTGAAGGCTGCAGTCCTTGATCTTCTGCAGCAAGCACTTCAGGTCCTCTTCAGTTTCAGCAAGCAGGGTTGTGTCATCTGCATAACGCAGGTTGTTGACGATTCTTCCACCAATCCTGATGCCACATTCCTTCTTGTACAGCCCAGCATCTCAGATGATCTGTTCTGCATACAGATTGAAAAGGTATGGAGACAAAATACATCCCTGACGGACCCCTTTCTTGATTCTGAACCATCCAGTGTTTCCCTGCTCTGTTCTGAAGACTGCCTCTTCGTCCAAGTATAGGTTTCCCATTAGCACAATCAAATGTTCTGGGATTCCCATTCTTCTCAGAGTCAGCCAGTGATCCACACAGTCAAAGGCCTTTGTTTGCACAGTCAATGAAGCACAGATAGACGTTCTTCTGGGATTCTCTGCTTTCTGCCAAGATCCATCTAACATTAGCTATAATATCCCTAGCACCACGACCTCTTCTAAATCCAGCCTGCACATCTGGCAGTTCTCTGTTGACATATTGTTCCAAACATTTTTGGACAATTTTCAGCAGAATCTTGCTTGCATGTGATATCAATGATATTGTTCGATAATTTCCACACTCTGTTTGGTCTCCTTTCTTTGGAATGGCAACAAATATTGATGTCTTCTAGTCAGTTGGCCAGCTGGCTGTCCCCTAGATTTCCTGGCACCACTTAGTGAGCACATCCAGGGCAGCATCTGTTTGTTCAAATAAATCAATTGGTATGTAGTCAACTCCTGGAGCCTTGTTTTTTGCCAATTCCTTCAGAGTAACTTGAACTTCCTCCTTCATCACCATAGGTTCTTGCTCATATGTTATTTCATGAAATTCCTCTGTGTCAACCAACTCCTTTTGATACAATGACTCTGCGCACTCCTTCTATCTTCTTTTGATACTTCCTGATCACTCAACATTCTACCCAAACTATCTTTAAGTATTGCCACACATGACTTGAATATGTTTTTCAACTCCTGAGCTTAAGAAATGCTGAGCGAGTCTGGCCCTTTTGATTTTCTGACTCCAGCTCCCTGCACATTTCATTATAGTATCTTGCTTTGTCGTCCCAAGCTGACTTTTGAAATTTTCTGTTTGGCTCTTTGATTTCTTGATTTCTTCCTTTAGCTTTGGCTTCTTGGTGCTCTAATGCAACACTCAGAGTCTCATCTGACATCCATGCTGGTCTTTTCTTCTTCTTCAGCCTTTGTAATGATCTTTTGCATTCTTCATGGATGATTTTCTTGATATCCTCTCAGAGCTCATTTGGTCTATGCTCATTGGTGCTCAAGGCCTCAAACCTGTTCTTGAGATGGTTTTGAAATTTGAGTGGGACAGACTTAAAGTTAAATTTTGGTCCCTGTGGACTTGATTTCATTTTTCTCAACTTCACCTTGAACTTGCATATGAGTAGTTGGTGGTCTGTCCCACAATCAGCAACTGGCCTGGTTTTCACTGCTAAAATTGAGCTTCTCCAGCAAGCCTTTCCACAAATGTAATCGATTCCTATGCATACCATGGATTCAAATATATCAACAACCATGAAAATCATACAGGACTTTAAAAACTTTCCGCTATTTACACAGGGTTCCATGAGTCAGAATTAGGTAAAATAAAGCATTACACGTAGCTCACTTCATCTAGTTTTAAGAGCCAAACAAATTTTAAAATACACACTGAATTTTTTAAATTTATGCACTGAATTTAATTTGTTAAATTTAAATTCTTAAAATTATGAACAAAATTAACCAATGTAATGCTGGAATCATTCATAACTTTGATTTTTATAACAAGTGAATGTTTGTGAAGATACCTACAGAACTTTCTTATTATGAAAAGGACTTGACTCTTGAACAAACAGTATTGCTCTTACTTTATTTCCTAAGTGGGTTATCTTCAGAATTCCATCTTGCCACACTTTTGACTTTTTCGTCTTCTGATGAGTATAGAGTACCTTATTACCAAAAGTATGAAAGAAAAGAAATGGTTTCAATATATATGGATGCAATGTACACATTTTATATGTCCATTCTACATACAAAAAGTATTTAAGACATCTTTCATTGAAATAAAAATATAAACACCATAAAAACCAAAATCTACATAGCAAGAGGTGAAGGAGGAAAGGAGGAGGAAAAAATAAAAGGAAAAAGTGAAAAGTTCATTAAGTATCCAAAGTACTTTTAAGCTTGGCCAATCACTGACAGGAAAGAAAAATCTGCGAGTTTAAAAAATACTCATTTTCCATGTAGTTCTTAAAAAGTGTGATTCAGAGACTCCTATAGCTTTTCAAGATCTTTTCAAGGTTTCACGGTGAGAAAATTTTTTTCATAATACTAAGGCCTTACTTGCATTTTCACCCTTCTTGTTTCCGCTATGTACAGTTCTGGCAGTTCAATTTCCAGAGGTTATGTCTCCTGAGTAATTTACTGCCTCTGAAAACCCACCAGAGGGTCAGCTATGATTCAGTGGTATTCAACAATAATATATCATGTCTGATTTTACAAAAGACAATGCAGAAGCACATAGGAAAATCCAGCAGTATTCTATTAAGCCAAATGTCAGAGAATGTAAAATTATGTTACTCTCACATCTTTTGTTATTTGTTGCTTCATAAAAATGTCAGCAATGTTAACATACAATAGGGCTTTATTAAATTAATATATTTAAAATATTTTAATTTCTAATATGAAAAATAACAGTATATGTAACCTGCACAAACTCAATCCTCTGGAGACTCCAATAATTTGAAGTTTGTAAAAGAGTCCCAAGACCAAAAAAGTTTGAGAATCATTGATCTAAATATAAAGGGCATGCTTGTTCTCAGGAAAGAAATTGTTTTCCTAGTTAAGGTCCAAAAGAATGTATTACACAGCACTTCCTGTAACAAACATAAAAAAAGAAGGCAAAAAGATAGGGATGATAAGTAAAATAGAGGTGCCCAATAACATGAAATTCAGGCAAAAAAAAAACCAAAAAACTACTTTAGCATATGTATGTTCCAAATAATAGGAGACCTGGTGGTACAGCAGTTAAGCACTCAGCTGCTAACAAAAAAGGTCAGTGGTTTGAACCTACAAGTTGTTCTGTGGAGAAACCTTATGGGGTAGTCCTATTCTTTAAGGGTAACTATGAGTTGGAACATACAGGAACAGGTTCTATGCCATAAATACAATGGGACACACTTTCTCTAAAAATATTCACTGTTTAACTAATATTCAAATTTATTTGGGCAGCTTGGTTTTGTTTCTTTTTTTTTTTTTAATTATTATTTTTGTGTGTCTGTGTACCGTCAAATCAGATCTGACTGGTACAGGAGGAGATTGTCCCTCCTTTCCCGGCAGAGCATCTGGTGGATTCGAACCATGCGCCTCTGGAATTACAGTGCAGCTTCTTGCCACTAGGCCACCAGAGCTCCCCTGCAGCTTGGTTTTTTACTTGTTTTTTGCTATATCTGGCTATACTGACAAATTATTTGTGAAATGTAAAGAAAGAAAGTGGGAGGGAGGAAAGGAAACAGTGGAGTCAAGTAAGACTTACAATGAATTCTTTGCTTCCCATTGCTTTTCTGAAGTTGTGAAGCAGTCAAATATAGCAAATATGCAGATGTTGCTCAACTACTTATACTACCTAAAATTAAAAAAAACCACAAGATTTCATTCTGTTGCAAAGTATAAGCATCAAATAGATTTTTTCAACACAAATTCTTAACTGAAGAGAAATAAATGTTCTAAAACAACCTAGTGACAGACACAGAATTTGATCAAATTATCTACCAGTGATCATACTTTTGTTGAAAAAGCATTTTGTCCAACAAGAAAGACTAAGTTAAACATAAAATAACAAAGCTAAGGTCAGCATATATTCAACTCAACAACTCAACTCATTGCTCTAGAGTTTGAACCAACTCATAGTTGACTCTCCAGTGGATTTTCAGAGGCTGTAAACTATGCAGGAGAAAAGCTATTTTCTCCGAAGGAGCAGCTCGGGGATTCTAGCATCTTAGGTCGGCAGTGTAACTCCCTACCAACTTTGTCAGAAGAGATCCCTACAAAATACATTTTTTTTAAAAAAAAACCTCATTGCCATCCATTCGGAACCAACTCATAGGTGACCCACCTCTCCTCACCCGACCCTCGACAGGTTTTCCTGGTAGTACAACAGCTTACCTAGAAGGCCACAAATATATAGTAGCTTGAAAATATTTTCCAGAGTTAAGGTATGCATCAGAACATATGATTTTCCTCCACGACTTGTTTCTTATAGACTAATAACCAACTTTATTTTTTACGAATTGCTAGAGGAACTCTGTTAATGAAGTTTGGTGGCACTTTCTTGTCAGTTCAAATTCACTAGTGGCTCTCTGAGAGGAAGACAGGCAATTTCCTCCAGAGCAATCTACAGCCTCTGAAAACCCACTGGAGGGTCAGCTGAGTTGGTTCAGGTATGAAGACAGACTGAGTTTAAATAATTTCTACAGTCACCACAAGATGGCCTCCTTGAGTTTTAAGATTTTCAACTGTAGTATTTTTTTCAAGTTTATTTAACACAGTATCTACAATTTAACATGTACATACATGGCGTGTTGCACTATCAACCCAAAGGCCATATGTTTTCAATGGTTCAAGTACACCAACATCTCTAAGGGAGAACGATGCACAATCGCCTCTAAAGATTAAGAATCTCAGAAACCTAAGGGATGGCCACATTGATTCAACAGTGACAAAAATGCCAATGGAATCTTTATGCAAAGACAATATTTTTAACACTGTTATACTAAGTTTGGAAGGCACTGAAAATACAACCAGTGAAGAGATGCATCCTCAAAGTAAGAGTCTACTTTAAGGGATGGATGGATGGATGGATGGATGGATGGGTGAGTGGGTGGATGGATGGATGGATGGATGGAGTAAAGCTATCACTCAATGAAAGATCTTCTTTTGGCAATATGTCAAGACTCAAAACAAGGAGAAATAGCTTTAAGCAATCATTATTAATAGGAACTGAAAGTATTAATATTAATTTAGAAAATCAAAACTGTCAAAAAATAGAAAAGATTGACATCCTAGGCCCTAGTGAGTTGTGGTTGACTAGAATGACTATCTTAAATCAGACAATCACATGAACTATTAGAAATCTGAAAAATCTGGAGGACAACCACCTGACCAACTGACTGGAAAAGATCCGTATTTATTCCCATTCCAAAAAAAAAAAAGGTGACCTAAAAGAGTGTGAAAATTATCAAACAATATCACTGATACAATACGCAAGCAAAATCCTGCTGAAGATTATTCAAAAATGACTGAAACAGTACATCAACAGAGAAATACAAGCTGGGTTTCAAAGAAGCTATGGTACTAGAAAAATTATTGCTAATGTCAGATGGATCTTGGCTGAAAGCAGAGAGTACCAGAGTACACAAAGACATTTGATTGTGTGTGTGGATCACAACATATTGTGGCTAACCTTGAGGAAAAGGGTAATCCCAGAACACAGATAATTTGGGAGGGTGGACTTTTTGAGGAAGAAGGTGGCATCAATATTGAAGGAAGACTAATCAATAACCTGCATTATGCAGATGATGACACAACCTTGCTTGCTGAAACGGAAGAGGACCCGGAGCACTTGCTGCAGAAGGTCAAGGACAGTAGTGAGAAAGAAAATACCAAAATAGATTTCAGAAGAGACTCTAAAATTGCTCTAAAGCATCAAGAAGCCAAAATGAAGTATTAAAATGGAATGTGCAAAGAGCAGGAATTGGAAAATAAAAAGGGCAGAACTCACTGCATTTATCAACCTGAGGGAACTAAAAAACAATTTTAAGCCTTGACTTCAATAATGAAAGATAGTATTGGCAATATTTTTAATGACCTAGAAAACATCAAAAGAAGATGGAGGAAATACACAGAATTACTGTACCAAAAAGAACTGGTTGACACTGAAAAATTTTAGGAAGTACCATATGAGCAGGAGCTGACAGTAATGAAGGAGGAAAAGTATTGAATATACATTACTATGGACTGTTAAGAAAATGAACAGGTTAGTCCTAGAGAGGGTTAAACCAGGCTCTTCCTTGAAGGCAAGGATTCTGAAGCTCCGTCTGACATATTTTGGACATGTTGCAAGTAGGGACCAGTCCTTAGAGAAGGACATCATGTTTGAGAGGGTGGAGGAACAGTGCAGGAAAGGAAGACCCTCTATGAGGTGGATTGATTCAGTGATTGGGGTAATGGGGGTTGGTGTGTTGGGGACAATGAGATTGGCACAGGATAGAGCAGGGTTTAGGGCTGTTAACAACAACAACATAGGGAACATCAAAAGAAGATGGCAAGAATACACTAGGTCACTATACCAAAAAGAACTGGCCAATTTTGAACTATTTAAGAATTAGATTTGGATCAAAACCCAATGGTACTGAAGAAAAATTTAAATGTACACTGAAGGCACAGCAAAAATTAAGGCCTCAGCCATCGATGCAATGCTAATTGAGGTATTTTAGAGATCAGCTGTAGCCATGATGTACTTGCAAGTTGATTCCAAGATACCTGGATCACAGCTATCCAGTCAACCAACTGGAAGAGATTCACATTTGTTCCTATTCCTAAAATAGTCAAGCCAACAAGTGGGAAATTACCATTAATATCACATCCAACTAAAATATTGCTTTAGATTATTAAAAAGTTGCTGGAGCAGTACCTAGACAGTAACTCTGAAAAATTCTAGCTGGATTCAGAAAAGACCATAGAACAAGAGACGTTACTGCTGATGTCCAATCTTGACTGAGAGTAAGGGATACCAGAAAAATGGTTACTTGTGTTTTATTGACTATGCAGCCATCTGGCTGATCATAAATTTTGGTTACTACGAGAAGAATGAGAATTCCAGGATACTTAATTGTGCTCATGCAAAACCTGCACATATACTAAGAAGCAGTAGTTTGAACAGAACTTAAAGTCAGAAATCCAGTGTTTACTAATTTAGGATTGTTGTTGTGTACCATCAAAGTGGAATGAATGGACCCACAGTTGAACTGCCAGGGGGTTTTCAGAGGCAGTAAATACACAAGAGTAGACTCCTCATCTTTCTGCAGAACAACTGATAGATTTGAACCATGTGCCTGTAGACTGACAGCACAGCTCCTTACCATTAGGCTACCAAAGTGCCCTGGTTTAGGATTACTTGTTAGGTGCTTTCGAGCCAAGTATGACCCTTAGCAGCAACCCTATGAGCAACAAATCTGAAATCTGTTCTTATCCAATGCAATCCTCACACTCCTGACACCCAGAGTCCACTGCAGTTGTCACTATTATCAATCCACCTAGCTGAAGGTTGACGTCACAATCTTTTTCATAGTCCAGTTTCTCTAATAACTTGCTTAGCATACAAATTGACTAGGAGTGTATAATGAATACAACCCTGATGCACTTTCTTTATTTTAAACCATGTAGGGTTCCCTTGCTCTGTTCGCACAACGCCCTTTTGATCTAGGTATAGGTTTTGCTAGAGCAAAATCAACTGATCTGGGATTCCCATTCTTCTCAATGTTAGCCATTACTTGTTATGATCCACACAATCAAACATCTTTGCATAGTCAATGAAGCATAAATAGACATTTTTCTGGTATTTTTTACTTTCAGCCAGGATCCATCTGACATCAACAATGATAGCCCTGGTGTCAGTGCCTCTTCTAAATCCTGCTTCAACTTCCCTATCCATGTACTGTTCTAGATGATTTTTATTAATTAGGATTACTTAAGCACTATTAAAGAGAACTTTGGTGAGGCCATCTGTAGAGAGTCGTGCTGCTAACCAGAAGAGTCAGCATCAAGTATCACTCTCTGGAGGTTCAATTACAACAGTGATTCCACAGCAAAAAGACTGGCAACCTCCTCCCTTTACAGTCTTTGGAAACCTGCTAGAATGTCAGCAATGAGTCAGTTGTACCTCGAGGACTACGAGTTTAAGCTTTAATGATATGGTGGGTTACATGTTTGTTTCTTGGCCCAAAGGTCAGTAGTTCAAATCCACCAGCAACTCCCAGGGAGAAAGATGAAGCTGTTGACTCATGTTAACATTACAGCCTTGGAAACCTGATGGAAGGATGCCATGAGTTGTAAGCCACTGGGGCATGGGTTTTGTATATTCTATTGGTTGTTGCTGTTGTTGTCATGTGCCAAATCATTCCTAAGCTGCCCCGGCCCGCGGGGACATTCAATGGTGACCCTAGGAGAGGAAGAAAGAGAATGGGGGGCACAGGAAACAAAGAGACATTGAGACAAGATGAAATTTCCGATCAAGTCTCGACTTTATTGAAATCATACAGAGATATATATAGGAGAACAAATGAGGGGAGTGGAAAGGAGAAGTAAGGTTACTTAGCAGGGCATTCCCAGTAAGCCAAAACCTGTCCTCCCAGGGTGGGGTAAAGGAAACCTATCCTTCCAGGGTGGAGTAAACTGAAACACCATGGGGGGAGTGGAAAGAAGAAGTAAGGTTGGGTGTTCCCAGTAGACCGAATCCTGTCCTCCCAGGGTGAGGCAACATGTCCAGGCATGTCCTTAGAGAATTACAAAATGGCTTCAACTAGGTAGAACAAAACGGCTCTCAACACTAAGCCTCCACTGGGTTACTGGGTTTTCAGTAGCTGTGAATCACCAGAGACTGTTGTCAGTTGGGAGCACAACTCCTTACCCTCCAGGCCACCACAGCTCCCTGTATACTATTTAGGAACTGTTAAACTTCTCATTGTTTTAACTATTAAAAATTTCTTCTGAGATTTACATTTTAAAAATAACCAAGGAAGGTTCAAAAATTGTCACAAACGGTAAATGAGACTGTTCTTGTTGTTATGTGCCATTGAGTCGTCTGTGACTCATAGCGACCCTATGTACAACAGTCCTAAAGCCTGCTTTAGTCCTAGCCAATCTTATTGTCTCTGACACACTTATCTCCATTAATCCAGTGAATGAATCCATCTCATAGAGGGTCTTCATCTCCTGCACTGTCCCTCCACCATCCCAAGCATGACGGCCCCTCTCCAAGACTGATCCCACCTTGCAACATGTCCAAAGTATGCCAGACAGAGCTTCAGAATCCGTGCCTCCAAGGACCAGCCTGGCTTCACCCTCTCTAGGACGAACTTGTTTGTTTTCAGGATTAAAAACCAGGTGGGGAAAGTAACTGAGTTGGAAAATACTTAAAAGTGCCCTGTGCTCTAATACCTCCATACCCTTCCAATTAAGAGTAAATGCCCCTTTCTACAATTAAATAGAAATACTTCAGACGACAGTTTTTCATATATTTACAAGAGATGTAAGGATAAAAAAAATTTACTCAAACTGTTAATCTATCCTTATCTGGTAGGCATTTCAAGTGCTGTCCCATTTCTGTTGCTGTTGTGTATTGTTGAGTGAAAACCGACCCATAGCTGACCTTCCACAGGGTTTTCAAAGACAGTACATTGCAGGAGAAAATGCTCATCTTTCTCCCTCTGAGCAGCGGGTAGATTTGAACTGCGTGCCTTCGGGCTGGCAGCACAGCTCCTTACCACTAGGCCACCAGAGCTCCTTTGTCCATTTTTAGTGGGTGAAAAACACTTTTTTCAAAAAAGAAGTAAGTTTTTTCATTTTAATTGTGATTATTATACGAAAGTTTACAGAGTTAGGTTTTCATTCATTCATTGTTGCACATTTTACTTCTCTCCCTCCTTTCCCTCTCCTCCAGCTCACTATTTTTTTAAACATTCGTTCATAGTTGCGAAAATAACTTTTCAGTTAAGTTTTAAAAATAATGCGGAAACCTACGTTTTGTGGTAATTACCTAAGTACAGGTAAGTATATAAAAAGACATGGCTCCCACTTAAGTCCCCCCGACTTTCCACTCCTCCTTTCCCCCAAAACTTCAGAAATTGTTCACTTAACCTGTCAACGCCATTGCGAAATTCCACTTTCGAACTTCTCCCGCGAAAATGTGTAGCGTCATTACTGTGGGACCCCACCCGATTAAGACCCAATAGTTAGCCCGCCCATCTTCACCTCAAGTCGAGCAGCCTTTTACAAACTGCCAATCAAATCAACCTAATTCTTCATTGGCTAAAAGGGTCTAAACCGACAGTGGTTTCTGTTGCCCCGCCCACCGGAAGCCAGTTTAAGCCTGTGATGTAATGGTGGGCGCACGGCCTTAAGGCCTTCCTTTCTCTAGGGAAACCAGAACGGTGTCGCGCATGATATGACGCGTAAATAAGCACAACCATAAGGATCAGAAGGCGCCCTGGGCTGAAGGACACAATCTCTACCCTGGGTTTGGAGAGTGAATCGAGTATATTACAAGGATCGCGCAAATTGGGTGAGGTCTAAATTTCTTTCTGTCCTTGTCCGTGCAGCCAATTTTATCATCTCCTCACTACGCCCCCCCACCCCCTTCAAACCCTGTTGTCCTACTACTCTGCGCATGCGCAAACTCCTCCTGTCGTTCCAGTTTTCACCGTATGGGGGCGTGTGTTGCCCACCATTGGGAGGTTTGGGGCTTCCCCTTGCGGCTTGCCCGCCTTACGCAAGTACGGGTGCCGAGAAAGTAAAATAAGGAAATTCAGTATTTCGGGAGATTGGATTGAGCACCGCTGCCAAAGGAATTCCTGACAAGATAGTAATGTAGGACTTTATGCTGAAACGAAGTCATTTTCTTTTACAGGATTGTGCTGCAAAAATTCAAAGTCTCTTTTTTGACAGGAACCTGGCAGCTCCTCAGTGCTATATACAGTGTGCTATTTTTTTGCCCATGAGTGAATGAATTCCGACTCCTGTCCACCCCATTTGTGCAAATTAGAACTGCCTCCTTGTTGTCACGTATCCGTAGTTGACTTTCCAAGGGGTTGATAGAGGAAGGGGCAGTGAATCACACATGGGAGAATAGTGCCCATCTTTCTCTGCGGAACAGCTAATGGATTCTTGCTATTTGTCTTTGGGTTGACAGTGCAGCTCCTTTTCATTAAACCACCGAACCCCCTAGAATTGCCTCTTGATGTCTTTGTTGTGTATCATGGAGTCGGAACCGACCCGTAACGGGTTTTCAGAAGCAGTTAATTACATAGGAGAATGTCCACAGGATTTTCAACACAGATTGTCAGGTCTATCTGTCAAAATCTCTGGCTAGATTTTGAACTACCAACCTTTCTTTTCGTAAACAACACCTTGCACCAACCAGGGCCTAAGTACAGTATTAAACGCTAATAAAAGTATATTTGGGAAAAGCTCAGTAGGGAAGAAATGATAGAACAAAGGAAATATGTGTTTTCAGGCAAAGCCACAAAGTCAAGAAAATGACCTGTTGACACCGCAGTGCCTATAAAAAAAATGTGAAGAAAGCTATGACTAAGTTCCTCAAGAAAAATACTAGTTTACTGTACTTTGTTTACAAAATATATGCAAGTTTACAAAACACTTAATATTTTCAGGGGGAAAGGTGTAAAAATTTGAAATGGGGCATAAAAAGCCCACATCACATACTATTATTGGATGCCCTATTTAGCTCACCTTCCATCTGTCTTTTGTTGTGGTTGAACTTTTTTATTACTGTGCTGGTCATATGTCACCAGGACCAAAAAAATAGTCAGATCCACAATATTTGTTCCATGGGAAATAATGGCAAATTTTAGTAAGAAAAAATGCCTAATAAATAGAAAACTACAGTCACGCAAATTTAAGTGCTACAAATTTGTTATTTACTGAATAAATGTACTCCACAGCAATGGAGACTGAAAATAACAATCAAGATAAGGCCATGGAAGAGGAAAGCACAGAAAAGAAGAAAGATGTAGAAAAAAAGAAGAGGTCTCGAGTTAAACAGGTGCTTGCTGATATTGCTAAGCAAGTGGACTTCTGGTTTGGAGATGCTAATCTTCACAAGGATCGATTTCTTCGGGAACAAATAGAAAAATCTAGAGATGGATGTAAGTTTTGCTTGAGAGGGACTTATTTTACAGATATCTTTGCCCTAACCCTTTTTTAATCAAACCACTTATTTTTTGCCAGATGTTGACATATCATTACTGGTATCATTTAACAAAATGAAAAAATTGACAACAGATGGAAAACTAATTGCCAGAGCATTGAAAAGCTCAGCTGTGGTTGAGGTGAGACCTAATCCTACTTACTAGTAGTCTATAAGTTGATATTAAATGAGTATTCAAATAACCCCAGTTTGCTTTTTGCAGTGGTTATTTTCAGTTCGATTCTTTTTGATGACTAATACTTGTTTTCAAACTTTGTAAACGTGGTGTTCCCCTGTTATTGCGTTAAAAAAGAAATGCTTCGACTATTTTATGTAATAAGCATGAGCATCTTTCTCTAAGCTTTGAGATTTTAGATACCATTCCCACTATGTAATTACAAATTAGAGATATACCAGTTTACAAGTGTGCTGTGGAACTCTGCAGCTGAGGGCATCTTGAAATGATGCTTTTTGAAGAATGGTTCTTCCTACTTGGGGACTAGAGTTTATGATTCTGCTTTGGCAAAGTTAGTGGAATAGTATATTTTTCTGTTTTTTATATAATTGGTATTTTGTGTACTGATTTTTCCATCTCTTAATGTGTGCTTCTAAAGCTGGATTTAGAAGGCACAAGGATCAGAAGGAGAAAGCCCCTAGGTGAAAGACCCAAAGATGAAGATGAGCGGACTGTGTATGTGGTAAGCCAAGGCACCAGTCAGTCACACAGCTTTAAAGTTTTATTGCACATTTATTGCACATTACTAATACTGTTGTGTTAAATTCCTTGTAGGAATTACTTCCAAAAAATGTTAATCATAGCTGGATTGAAAGAGTATTTGGAAAATGTGGCAATGTTGTTTATATAAGCATCCCACATTATAAAT